TTCTGTAATGGATGTTATAAAGATTGCATAAGCTGTGAGATGCTGGGAAGACTGTCTCCTACACATGAACTGAGACAGTATTTATTCCTGGATGTCAAAACATGAGAATAAAGGGAGAAGATCACACAGAATCACAAAATCAGACAAAAGCCTGGTCTAGGAAAGCTTGAGAGTATCATTCATTATCCAAAACCCATGCAAGCATGCTTTCATGGAACTAACATATAGTACTAATGAACTTCTCCAGGCAACTGAATTTTTCCATGATTTTCCATAAGTCCTTATGAATGACAGTTTCAAAGACCTCAGTCAGATTGACAAATGTGTACAGACCTCTGTTCTACTTCTAGTATTTCTCCTAGAGTTGTCAAGTAGCAACCACTATATTGACCATTTCTCAGCTCTTTCTGAAGCCACACTTGGCTGTCAGGATTATGGCCATCTTCCAGGTTAAGGATCACCTTATTAAGGACTCTGGCAAGAATTTTTCTGGCAGTGACTGAGAGAGAGATACCAGCCTTCACCTCTGGGGATTGTCATAGGACAATTTATTTCCTTTACCTTTATAGAGATGGACGATGGAGGCATCCTGGAACTAGTGGGGAATATCTCCTCTTGCCACATAACCTAAAAGATTTCAGTCAGCTTTTATATGAGCAGTGGACTTGTAAATCTCAGCTGTAACAGAATCAGCACCAGGTGCTTTGCCACACAAGAGGTGCCTAATGGCATTCAAAACCTTCTTTTGTTGGAAGTTTGGCTAGAGAGAGAGAGACCGACTTTAAACTGAGGTATACAATCAGTGACTTGAGCATTGATTGATGCCAACTGTTGAGAACACTATGGAAGTGTTCAACCCATCTCTCCTGGATCATGCCATTATCACTAAAGAATGTGCTCAATCTGCACTGAGTAATTGAGATGCACCATAGGTCTTTGGTCCATACATAGTCTTCAGGGGCTCATATGGCCTCATAAGGAAATTTCAATCCACTAAAACCCCGAAAATCTTTTTTTTGCATGAAATGTTCCTAACCCACTCCTCCCCTAATGCTTATGAAATTGATATTTTGGTGCCAAGTGTAGAAGATAATACATGTCTCCTAAAGTTCATCTTATTCAAGTCAGTCCATCATGCTGCCTGTTAAGAGCTTTGTGGTTTTGTGACTTCACTCTTTTCCCTTCCTATGCTGTACTTGCTGTTGTGTTCCTTTTGAATAAGGTCCTACTGTGTTTATACTCCAGGCATGAGTCACCATTTCACTGTATCATAGGGCTACATATCAGTTGAAAGTTACTTCCTTAGGTTAGCATTTTTAGTTTATCTTGTTTATGAGCCATGATTTTGTGTATATAGGAAGTTAAGGCTCTGAATTTTGTTCATTCTCTTCTTTGATATCATCTCCTGTGAATTACTGCTCTTCTTCGATTTATTTGCCCATGGTTTACCTCCTGTTCTCTATCACACTAGATTTGCAGATCTGTATGGTCTGACTCTTAATTAGAGTCATAAGACTTCAGGAAAAAAATATATAAACATTATATGTGTGTATACACATATGTGTGTGTGTGCATGTGTGTTCATACATGAAAATACACATATAAATATATACATACATATACCCCATATATGGGGTGTAAGGTGTCAGGGAAGACTAGTACCTCTAGTGTGAGTGCTGCTGAGCCATTTTCAGAGCACTTTTACAGCTTTGCTGTCCACTTGCCATCCAACTGTCACCTGTGACTCCAAGAAGCTGCAGAATACACAGTGGCCACACCCCCAGTAAATAGTCTCAGCAGACAGTCTAAACAAGGTTGAAGGTAAACTGAAGGGCCTTAAACCTATCAGTGAGTTAAGGGAGTATTTACTCCAACCATGTGAAGACTTCCCCCAGTGGAATGGGCAGATGTGAACAATTTGTTCCAACAGACCACGAAGGCAGCTGTGCTTAGACATTAAAGATGCCAACTTCATCCACTGCATCCTGATTTAACGCCAGTCATCTTGACTTAATACTGTATTGTATCATAATGTAAATGAACTTTCATTTAAAAGTTACTTACCTTATTGCTCTTTGCTTCCAATATGTAGATGTCTGTTTATATTTCCTCATGTGATTTGCTTTCTTTTTCCATTGTAATATGTATTTACCCAGAAAGAACTTTGCAAAATTACCTATAGTCCACTTGAGGGGGAGAAGGAAAAGGATTCCATACATTGCAGGTGGGAAATTTCCCAGTTCTTATGATTCTGTCTTAGCCTTTGAGATTTCATATAGTTCTGGCCAGAAATGACTTTTCTTAGTGATTGACAAGAGTTTGTTATCACCTCATCAAAGTCAATGGCTTCCCTGATGCTGGCGCTTCTAGACCTAGCTTGACTCCAAGAGCTCTACCAGCCTACTTGCTGTTTCTTCCACATGATGCTACCTCTGCACTCTCCAAGCCTTTGCATTGGCTGTGCTTCATACCTGAAAGGTTTTTCCTCTTCATTTCTATCTCTTGCAGAAGTTTTGTTGTTTTTTTTTCCCCCGAGTTAGTACTTTCTCCTATATAGTTGTCTTCAATCTCTTCTGCATATATCTTGTATGTATTTAACTTTTTACATGGTGTCTCCTCTATTAAAATGTGAGGTCAGGGACTATTTTTGTCTTTCTTTGTATCCCCAGTACTTAGCATAGTGCCTGGCATAAAGTAAGTGATTAATAAAGGTTGGTCAGCTAACATTTGGTGGCAGATGATGAGAATTTGCTCCAGAAGTAATACCTTTGAAGTAGCTTTGGAGTTCTGTATAGTCCATAACTTTCACACTCATTTCTTTTTTGATGACATATAGGTCTACTACCTCGAATTGTGTGGCAGCTACAACTTCTGCAAAACACTTTGGCACCTCTTAGACACCTGCTGTTCACCTTTGACCTGGAGGTCTTTGTGTTTCCTTTGCCTTCAGACACAACAAACTGGAATCAATTCAAGTTTAGGCATTGTTCCCATCCTGTTTAGTAGACATTTCCTCCTGCCTTTGAGCAACCCGGTGCTATTATGCTATTATCAGCACAATTTGGTTTCCTTTAACTTTTTTTATGCATTTAACTGGAAGAGAAGTTAAAAGAGATAGAGACTAGGATAGCATACACACACACACACACACACACACACACACACACACACACACTCATTTTTAAATGATAACACTGAAATATGCTAAAGAATCAAAGTTTTCCATAACATTTTTTACAAGGAAATAGCTAAAAATTATAAGCTCTACCTAAATTTAAAAAAAATGTATGAGAAGGTTTACTTGTCTTTTGTTTTGTTAATCATAAAAATAAGCAGTTCTCTAAGATGTCTACAATATGATCATTCACTTAATTCTTATGGAATGTGGAAAAAAGGGACAGCTGGTATGTATTGTTTTCCTTGTCCTGATTCCAAATCCAACTCCAATTTGGCTTTGACTTATTGACTTTAGTCTCTATGTCTCTGAACATTGAAAGACCTATGTTAGATACATCCCTTTGCATGATAAATCAACCTAAAATAACACATTTTTCCCCATGATTACATAAATAATTTTTTCTGTCATTTATAATGCCTATTGCATAGGCATTGGTTATTATAGTTTGCTTAACATTATGTAACATTTAAAAATGTTGGAGAGACATAATTTCTGTGTAATTTAATAATTTTATTACTAATGCCAGCATTTTAATAAAAGGATGGTAATTTGGCCATCTCTCTCTTAGACCAAAGACAAACATTGTAGGTGCTCACAGTTTTGTTTTGTTCTTTTTTTTTTTTTTGCCCTTCGAATGGTAGGTGTTCTCCATAGTGGCAATCAATTCTGATTGGTTAACAATTAAAGAGAAAATGCATATTACAATGAAGGGCTGGACCTAAATTTTGATTAAGTCATTTATTTCTTAAGTCAACCCCAGCTTTGGGCAATCTATTCAAAGAATTTATCTCCACCTAAACCTGAGCAGAACACAATCACTGCCCCACCTGGGTGGGGTCTGGATAGAGGAGAAAGTTAGCTCAACCTTCAGAGGCTGAGGTCTTAAAATGGGGATAAAGTGGAGAAATTTGAATCTCCCCAAATCTTTGGTTACTAATAATAATTTCTCTCAATTATAAAAGATTATTAAGCTGAAGATCTTTGAAATTTATTGAGAAAATTTCCATGAAACCTGAACCCTTCCTAAGTGAACATGATGAGCTAATTTAAAGTGTCTGCAACTGCTTTAAAAATGCTGGTGATAATTCCCATAGTCAAAAATTTCATTGCAAAAAATGAATGTATCTCCCTTCATAAAAATAGATATTAAAATATGTCTGATGCAAGTAGATAGGCCAAAGTATTTTCTGTCAGGATCCAAGATTACACCTCTCTTTTTAGACACCCTATTTCCCAGAGCTAAAGCCCAGAAAGCAAGCTGTGCCCTGAGCTTGGCATAGCAATAACCTTTTGCACTCTAGCTGAATGTTGCTGTAACTAAATCATAGAGCTGATGGTCCCTGAGCTCGGGCAAGTACCATCAGGCCCAGACATGAAGCCTTACTACTAATGGACTTTTTGTCACTAGATAATCTTGCCTTACTATTGCTGTTGCCCCTCACTGTTGCTGTTGTGACTCACCACTATTGCTACACTACACTGTTTGATTCATTGTCTAGCCACAAATATATAAATCAAAGTTTAGCCTCACCACCTTGGGTCTCCTACTAGAGGAGGCCCTGGCACATGGGTCTAACTGATTTCTCTCCCCCCAACAGAATAAAGAAAGCTTTTTGCTTTTACCCTCTATGAGCTCGTTGGTATTTTTGGAGTTAACAGTGGTTGTAAAACCTGTGTGACTCATTTGTTCCCAAAGTTGATATTTCTTTTGCTCTTGACTTTTGGCACTGTGGGAAACCCCAATCCAAACAAACTGAAGTCAGAACAGACAGAATAGAGAAGATCAGAATGCTCAATTGTTACCTTCTCTTCTTTTATCTAGGTGCATATGTGCTTCAGGTCAAAGCCACAGATGCAGATGATCCAACCTATGGAAATAGTGCCAGAGTGGTTTACAGCATCCTTCAGGGACAGCCTTATTTCTCTATCGATCCTAAGACAGGTAAATATTTTATCAGTGAAAACATTATCATCACCCTTTCAAATGTTTAAACTTTAATTAAACTTTGGCAGAGAGTTGCATTGTCTTGTGTAGCAATAAAGAATCTGTGTGGTGCAGATTGAATTCTAGAAGATAGTATCTTTCATTAGTAAGCTGTTCAGTATGATTTTTGTGGTTCTAAGCTGGGTATGAGTTAGCAATTATTTGGTTTAAATATATAAAGTCTAACACCTGAAATCTGTAAAAATCATGTGTGTACATAGACACATATGTGTGTGTATATATGTAAGTGTGTACATACATATGCATATAAAATACACACCCGTGCATGGGCGTATAATTTTAGGTGTCATAGGTTTCCTGTTATTTAATGACATCAACAGTAGTAATAGTAGTTGACATTTACATAGTACATTCAGTTTTACAAAATATTTTATATTCATTATCTCATTTGATCCTCACAACAACCTAATGAAGTAGGTTACCCAAGTGTTATTATCTCATATTTACAGATGAATAAACAGGGGCTCAGTTAAAGCTACTAAAGTTCATAAGTGAGATACTGCTCCAAGTCTCCTATTGACTCCAAATTCAGACCTCTTTCCATCTTTCCATCTCTCTCTCTCTCTCTTTCTCTCTCTCCCTCTTCCTCTCTTTCTCTCTCTCCCTTTTTCACCTCTGTTAGATTAATATTTTTATTCATTAGTTGAGTTTTAAAATATGTATATGTGTATTTATGTGTGTATATGTTTATTTTATATGTATATATGTATATTTACTTCATCATGTTATGTTACATTTTGAAGCCATGAAACTAATGAATACTTCTGAAATTCTATTAAATGAGGATGCAAAATGTGGGTGGTAATGTTAATATAAACACTTTAGGAAAGTCAAAGAACAAACGACAGCTTGAAACATTTAAGAGTGATGACTCCTGTTTTGAATAGCTATTCTGGCCTATTTTGAAAAGTCATTCCAAATTTTATATCTTAATAATTCAGTGAAGTAATCTATACTAAATAGAATACTGAGGAGTCAGCTTGTAGAGAGGACTATGATCAGGAAAACTTACTAGTACAACCCTTTAAATGTTTATCAGTTCCCTGTCCAAAGGATCTGGGCTTGGATGTCAGATTGATTGTTAAGGAGACTTCCTCCTTGACTGATCAATAATTAGATGCAAGAGCTTCATGTCACAATTAATGGCAGAATCTTTAAAAGAATGCAAGTGCCTTAATCTTAGTGTCAGTAGCTACATTTGTACAATAGAAAATTCTACATTTAGTGTTGTGCTGTAGAGGAAAAATATAGCATTTTTCAGAGTGCTTCAAAGTCTCAACCTTCAGGATACTAATTACATTTGATTTTAAGAGAAGTTCAAAGACAATCTAGAAAAATATTTTTTTAGGGCAGCTCTGCAGCACAGTGGATAGAGCACCAGCCCTGAAGTCAGGAAGACCTAAGTTCAAATCCGGCCTCAGACCAAAACACTTAACACTTACTAGCTGTGTGACCCTGGACAAGTCACTTAACCCCAATTGCCTAAAAAAAAAAGATTTTTAAAAAACTGCATTAAACAATCATAATGACCTCCATTTTGTTGTGATTTGTAACACTTTGCTAGTTTAGACCTATTATTAATTACCTATGCAGGTAGGTAAAAAGAATGAATCATGTCAGCTTTCAAACTCAAATTTAAATCATGTATATTTCATTTTTAGACTTTCAAAGTTCTAGTTTAGTCAACATTAGATTTGTACAAAAATTATTTTGATGAGTTTATGATGTCATCATGATATATTCCTTCCATGCAGCCTAAACTATCCATGCATGGCAGCCCTGTGGAATCATTTTATCTGCTTTTATTCTCTTCTTTCTTCCCCCATGATTGACCAGATCTAAATGATTCTAGCAATGAAGTTCTAGATCAGTAAATTTCCTGTGTTTCAACTTATCTCCCCATCCCCTCCTTAGAACTTAACTTTCATACTTTCATTTAATGCACTCAGAGCTTTACTTAGAAGCAGTTATTTTTAAAAAATTCCCATAAAGTGAAAAAAATCTTCTTTTGATCTCCTATCTCCTCTCCATCATTATCAATAGATTATCTCTTACTAGTTTATTGAGATGAAGGCCAACTGAATTGAGTTCCTTGAATTTCCCTCCTTTCCACCTCAGTATTTTTCTGTATTTTTGAATGTCATCTCCTTCTTTCTTTGTCTTAGAGAAACTCTTTGTCCTGTCTTCACAAGGCTAACATTTATTGCTATGTTGTGAATTCTGTTCCATCTATCCCATTCAATTCACTTTTAATTTTCCTGATATAGTTGTAAAATTAAGCTGAAAAGACTTCACGGCAAATAATAGTAATGAAAATAGCCACATTTAAATGGTGCCTAAAGTTTTATGATGTGATTTTCTTAAAACATTCTTGTGAGTATTATTGTCCCCAATTTATAGATATGGAAAATTATCCTCAGAGAGTTAAAAAAAAATCCCTGTTGTCATATAGTAAATGAAAGAACTGAGATTTAAATCCATGCCTCTTAATTCAAATGTTTTTTGTCCTCAGATATTTAGGTTCACAGGATGACAGGATCATGGATTTAAAGCTAGAAGACCCTTTGTAGTCCAAAATTCTTATTTTTAACATAAGGAAACTGAGGTCCAAAGACTTTTAATATCTTGTTCAGGATCAAACAAATAGTAAGGCTGAAATTGTAAACCTAGACCTCTGACTCCAAATCAGCTTTCTTTCCACTGTATCACTGTTTCTTCAGGAAGCAATACTTTGCAGATATCACTGAGACTGGGTGATATGAGACTCATGCCAGGAATGTGGCAATGGTAACTATTCGAAGAGAACAGAAAAAAGGGGGATAGTGTCAGTAAGTATACACACACACACACACACACACACACACACACACACACTCACACTCACTCACCCTGGAACTCACACACATACATATAAACACACACATAGATATAGATATACATGTATGCATGCATACACACATACATACATATACACATATATCTAGGAACCAGCTAGAAGAAATGTGGTAGAGAGAATTTAGTTGAAGATTGACAGAGGGAGAAACAGAAGTACTATTGTGATTGATGGGAGAGTAGGAGATAAAGAGTATGACAGAGCACTGATAGAGGAGTTCAGTTATCAGAACATCTGTGGAAATTTGGGCTAACAAGGAAGAACTGGTGTTGAAGTAGGAGCAAGGAGAATCTTGGGAAAGTGTCCACTCCATCTTAAAATTTGTGACACAGACTAAAATCATCTGTCAATTTTAGAATATGGGAGAGGGAATTATACAGCATTCAGAGAAGTATAAAGAAGTTGTCAAACCAAGAGTGGCTGACAAGCTCTCAAATTAAACTCTAATGATTTTAACAGAAATAATTATATTGAGGGAAAAAAGGGGGGGCAGGAGAGGTATCTAAAGAGACCAGAGAACTCATCAATTAACTTTAAAATTTAAATGTTACATATAGAAGATAGAAGCAAAGGCAGGTAGGTAATTGAGGATGTATTCAGAGGGGTGGTATGGTCCTTCAAAGCCTGTTACAGAATGGATTTAATGAGATTAAATGTGATAGTAATGAAAATAATGTTCTATGAAAATGATCAGTTTCACATAGAGAAGTTTGAGAAAGTGTGTGAAAAACAAACAAAAGGTATGGGAGTAGTAGTGAACTCTCTTTCCCAAACAGACTGACCTATTTGTTGTCCTCAGCCTCCTGTTACATTCATTTGCAGCAGGCAACTTCCTCTCTCCCCAAACCCCCACCCCCATGCCTGGAATACATTCTCCTCACTTATGCAACTTGAATCCTGTAGCTTCTTTTAATGCACATTTCTCATATGAAAACCTTTCCTAATCCTCCAGTTATCATTACTCTCTACCTCTTCTTATCTTTTTTTTAACTTATTCATTTACATATTGTATTCTTTAGTGAAATTAAGTTTGTTGAAGGCAGGGACTCTATTTTATTTCTTTTATATGTTTAGCATCTATTATAACACTTTGCATATGATGGGGACTCGATAAAATGTTTGTCAAATTGAATTAATATCGAGCTCAATATAAGTAAATAGACACTACAATAAAAAAATTAATTCTTAGGAAGCATTAAAAGAAGCATAATGTTCAGAATAAGCATAATATTCAGGTACCCAATATTGATTGTATCGTATCTAGAGAATTATGTTTACTTTTGGCCACACATACATATATACCTACAGACATATGTATATATGTGAGTGTATGTATACGTGTATATATATGTGTATATGTGTGTCTACATATATATATGTATTTATATATGTATTCTAGGGAGTATCTAGAATAGGTTTCAGGATGGTACAGGGACATAAAACTATGCCATGTGAAGCTAGGTTGAAGGAGCAAGGAGGGAGTACATGGCCTAGAAAAGGGAATACTTAGGGAAGATGCAGTACCTATCTTCCCATGTTTGAGAAGCTACCATAGAGAAGAGACATTTTTTTTTCTCTACATGAACCCAACAGACAGAAATAAGAACAGTGGGACATTTCATAGAGACAGATTTAAGTTTAACAAATGGGGGGAAAATAGAACTATCCAAATCTGGAATAGACTGTTTCAGAATATACTGTTCCTCCCCAACCCACCCTCCAACCACCACCCTATACACTCCTTACTAGGAGTTTTGAAGCAATGTCTGTATGACCAGTTGTGGGTGTTACAGGGTATTCTGACATATGGATTGAACTAGATGACCTTTGAAGTCTGAAACCATATAATACTATATGTATGATGGCTACAGACTTGAAAGGAAGGCATAGATATAAAATATAAGGTGAAGGAAGAATCAAGTAAGGCTTGGATACAGAATCGAGGTAGGGAGTGAAAGGAGAGGAAAGAATTATAGATCACTTTGAATTTTCTTCCCTGAAGGGATTGGAGAACACAATAACTTTAATAAAAATAAGAATTCAG